AAGCAATAATTATTATACGTCCCCTTTTAAATCAAGAGATACCCTGCCAGAAAAGTAAGAAAAAAGCAATGATTAGCGGGATAAATGTAGATGAAACCTACCTGAGCAATAGGTCAAAGGTAAAGTAAACTGCAGAGTGATATTTCGACGCATTCTGTTAACGCAGTGTCTGAGATGAACTTATGGGAAACACTTGAAAACAGCCATGGAAAAAATGTGGCGACCAGGAAGCCAACAGAAATATGCGAGAAAACCGCATGACATTAAGTGCCAGATCTGGCGTTCATATAAAAGAGGATAGAGATAAGTATCAGAATCAAAATGATATTCCATAAGTATTAGGACAAAATGATATTCCATAAGTATTAGGACAAAATGATATTCCATAAGTATTAGGACAAAATGATATTCCATAAGTATTAGGACAAAATGATATTCCATAAGTATTAGGACAAAATGATATTCCATAAGTATTAGGACAAAATGATATTCCATAAGTATTAGGACAAAATGATATTCCATAAGTATTAGGACAAAATGATATTCCATAAGTATTAGAACAAAATGATATTCCATAAGTATTAGGACAAAATGATATTCCATAAGTATTAGGACAAAATGATATTCCATAAGTATTAGGACAAAATGATATTCCATAAGTATTAGGACAAAATGATATTCCATAAGTATTAGGACAAAATGATATTCCATAAGTATTAGGACAAAATGATATTCCATAAGTATTAGGACAAAATGATATTCCATAAGTATTCGGACAAAATGATATTCCATAAGTATTAGGACAAAATGATATTCCATAAGTATTAGGACAAAATGATATTCCATAAGTATTAGGACAAAATGATATTCCATAAGTATTAGGACAAAATGATATTCCATAAGTATTAGGACAAAATGATATTCCATAAGTATTTGGACAAAATTATGTATTAGGACAAAATGATATTCCATAAGTATTTGGACAAAATGATATTCCATAAGTATTTGGACAAAATTATGTATTAGGACAAAATGATATTCCATAAGTATTTGGACAAAATTATGTATTAGGACAAAATGATATTCCATAAGTATTTGGACAAAATGATATTCCATAAGTATTTGGACAAAATAACATTAATCTCTCCTCCACCCAGATGCTATAACAGTATCTGGCAACCAATCGGAGTTCGTTATCCACTTTATCCTGTCATAACAAACAAAGGCATATCCAAGCCTGTTTTAAATTGAGATCACACACATTATTTTAGTGCTTTTTGTGACCAATGTCAACTTTTAAAGTAGCGGGCGTCACAACAGCAAACTGGCCCGTCCTACATCTTCCCAAAAAGTACTTCTCATTCTTCCATGGTCCATTATTCCTCACAGTATTTCCCTACACAGTGGTATCCCGGCCAAATAAAACGAACCCAGAATTAGGCGGGGAAGAATAAGACTCTGCTGAGCCCAGTTTTCCTACCAAATACAGAGTCCGTGAGAGAACAAGTCACACAACATAATGCGCACCTTCACGGAGGTCCTCTACGAGAGCGTATAGTGGGGTCCCACAAGCTGACATTCCAATGGATTGCAGGTATGGAAACTAATTGGTGACCAGAGGGCAGCTGGTTCGGATCAGAACTTGAGCCCCTCGGAGGCATTTATAGTAAATGACCCTCCATAAATATTGAGCTTTATAAGTACAAAGTGGGTATAGTTCACGGGTCAAGCTGCGTCCTGCGAGCCGCACACAGTTTTATGAACTTCATTGCTTCATTAAATAATAGGTCGTCTTTTCTAAATTCAATTGGAAATGTTCGTAGACCAAAGTGTTCATCGGGCCTTCGCGCCTCATCAAGGAGCGCCGTTTAAAAACTCCTCACTTATATCTCGGACCACATGGAAAATAATTAAGGGCAAAAAAGGTTAACATGAACATTCCCAAACGCTTAACCATCATGAACAAGGCTCTAGTTATGTGGCAGTGTTCGGATTCAGTCTTGTGTCAGGAAAACCGTGTGTGTCCTAACACTTTGTAATAACCACCAAACTGTTCTTTTTCCATTACTAGTGAATAAATCCTGTATATGAATCCCTGTCATCCTGTGTCCCCTCTAAATGGGTCGTTGGAGCGCCGTTGAAGCGGAATAACTCCGGCCGTCTTCCCATTAACACGCGGCGTGGCTGCAGTCAGGAAGTGTCCCGCTCCCAGCATTTCCTCCATTGAAAAATCCTGAGAGTGCAGGCGAGATATCGGGAGCGGGGAGCGTCGAAGAGGAACTGCCCATCCACTGGCATTCTGATTGTGACCAAAAGACTCGCGCCGCTAATGGAGTGGATGGGCGGATGAAGAAAGGGAGAAAGAGAACGTGAAATGGAAAGGAATACGCCCTGCCATTTCTACACTGCGAGACATTGGACTGTTAACCTGGCGGTAATGTCAATAGTGTAGATTATGGCCTCGCACGTCCCCCTCCCGCCATCTGGGGCACCCATTTTGGGTGTTGTTTTAGCAGCTCCCTCCCTGATTCCATCGATTCTGACAAGCGTACTTTCCATTTAGTCAGACCGAATGGCAACTGGGATTCCCTACTATGAATTGACGAGAGACAAACATTCCCAGTCCAACGCATAAGATCCGTTCACAAATTCCACGCTCGTTGAAACAGGACGAACGAACGCCTGTGTTACATTTCAACGGAAGCCATTTTGTTTCCCTTGAAAATCCTTTTGAAAGGAAATGGGAACGTGATAGACACAGAAGCTATTGTTTCAGATTTCATAGCCGTTTACATATCTTATCTTACCCATGTTAAAACAACAGAGTAGCTGCACATACAGCGCATACGGAAAGTATTCACAGAGCTTCACTTTTTCTACATTTTGTTATGTTACAGCCTTATCGCAGAATTGATTAAATAAATAAAAATCTCCCAATTTTAAACACAATACCCCATAATGTGAAGAAAGTTTGTTTTTGTGGAAATGTAACTTGCACGTAAGTAGTCACAGCTTTTGCTCCATACTTTGTTGAAGCACCATTGGAAGCAATTACAGCCTTTTAACAGTCTTTTTGAGTATAATGCTACAAGCTTGGCACGCCTATTTTTGGGCAATTTCTCTCACGATTTCTTTTTTTTGGACATTCTTCTTTGTAGAACCTCTCAAGCTCCATCAGATTGGATGGGGAGTGCCGGTTCACAGCCATTTCTGGGCTCTGGCTGGGCCACTCAAGGACATTCACAGAGTTGTCCTGAAGCCACTACTTCTTTGCTGTGTGTTGTCCTGTTGGAAGATGAACCTTTGCCCCAGTCTGAGGTCCAGAGCACCCTGGAGCAGGTCTTCATGTAGGATGCCTGTACATTGCAGTATTCATCTTTCCCTCCCAGTTTCTGCCTAGGTGATGAGTGGTGCCTGGTTTCCTCCAGACATGATTCTTCACCATAGTGATGGTATTGGCTAGGTGATGAGTGGTGCCTGGTTTTCTCCAGACTTGACTCTTGGCATTCAGACCAAATAGTTCAATCTTTGTTTCATCAGGCCAGAGAATCTTGTTTCTCATGATCTGAGAGTCCTTCAGGTGCCTTTTGGCTAACTCAAGGGCTGTCATGTCCCTTTTACTGAGAAATGGCTTCCGTCTGGCTACTCTACCATACAGGCCTGGTTGATGGAGTTTTTGCAGAGATGGTTGTCCTTCTGGAAGGTTCTCCTCTATTCACAGAGCAACGTTGGCGCTCAGTTTGTCCGGACGGCCAACTCCAGGAAGAGTCCTGGTGGTTCCAAACCTCTTCCATTTACAGATGATGTATCCCACTGTGCTCATTGGGACCTTCTGCAGAGGTTCTTCTTTACCCTTTGACAGGTGGCGATGGCTTGGTTTGTGCTCTGACATGCACTGTCAACTGTTGGACCTTCTGGTGACAGGTGTGTGCCTTTACAAATCATGTCCAATCAACTGAATTTACCACAGGTGGACTCCAATCTAGTTGGAATTTAGTGGAAACGTGCCCAGGACGATCAGTGGAAACAGTGTGCACCTGAGCTAGATTTTGAGTGTCATGGCAACGGCTGTGAATACGTATACATATGTGATTTAGTTTGTTTTTTATTTTTAATAAATTTGCAAACATTTCCAAAAACGTTTTTCACGTTATTATGTGTAAAATGTTGATGAAAAAACATGAATTTGAATCTATTTTGCGATAAAGCAAAAAAAGTGACACAAATCCTTCGCTGTACATCTATACACTGACCTTTAGACAAAACGTTTCTCTGTCACAAAAGTTTCAGAAGCTATTAAGGAGTCCCTGACCTGAGAATTGAACCCATGTTAGAGACTAAGTAGATGCGCAGAACATAACCCGCACTGCCTTAACTTATTCAATATGTTCCCTAAACTCTTCACCCACACTCTACCATGTTTTAGTCCATCTTCTGGAATGTTTCAACCAAGCATATAGAACAATTATACAACATTTCCAGCGGGAACAAGTAAAAAAAAGGTAACTTAACACGTCTTCAACAATCACGTGGGGGGAGGTTTATGGAAAAACAACATCCAATAGAAATCTAAGAGCAAATATAATAAAATAAACGTTTCCAGACCTCCAAGGAGGCATAATGAGATGTTGGGGTAAGGCCTTGTGAGACTAGAAAGCAGATACCTGTAGCAAACTCTCTACTTATAATTGCATTATTGTCGCATGGAAAAAATATACTTCTAGAAATATAGTATATTTCTTATACTAACTATCATAACTGAATGTGCTGCAAAAGACTGTCTGCCACTTAAATAATATTTTGCATTTTGGTTTGTCTTTAGACATTATTATTGGAAAAAAGGAAGAATGATGTAATAATTTCAATAGGTCAATGAAAATGTTCAGACGTTAATCAATTGAATGGTTTGCCTCAACTTTCTAGATTTTCTGACTTTGTTTGTTTGTTTGACCTTTATTTAGGCTGATTGAGAACAAATTCTAATTTGCAACAGTGACCTGGGGAGAAGCTGGTGATTGAACCCAGGACTGCATACATACAAAGCAGGCACTCTACCACAGAGCTACACCAACTCCTCCAATAGGAACCCAGGACTTCATACATACAGAGCATGCACTCTACCACAGAGCTACACCAACTCCTCCAATAGGAACCCAGGACTTCATACATACAAAGCATGCACTCTACCACAGAGCTACACCAACTCCTCCAATAGGAACCCAGGACTTCATACATACAAAGCAGGCACTCTACCACAGAGCTACACCAACTCCTCCAATAGGAACCCAGGACTTCATACATACAGAGCATGCACTCTACCACAGAGCTACACCAACTCCTCCAATAGGAACCCAGGACTTCATACATACAAAGCAGGCACTCTACCACAGAGCTACACCAACTCCTCCAATAGGAACCCAGGACTTCATACAGCATGCAGAGCATGCACTCTACCACAGAGCTACACCAACTCCTCCAATAGGAACCCAGGACTTCATACATACAAAGCAGGCACTCTACCACAGAGCTACACCAACTCCTCCAATAGGAACCCAGGACTTCATACATACAAAGCAGGCACTCTACCACAGAGCTACACCAACTCCTCCAATAGGAACCCAGGACTTCATACATACAAAGCAGGCACTCTACCACAGAGCTACACCAACTCCTCCAATAGGAACCCAGGACTTCATACATACAAAGCATGCACTCTACCACAGAGCTACACCAACTCCTCCAATAGGAACCCAGGACTTCTACCAAAGCAGACTCTACCACTGCTACACCAACTCCTCCAATAGGAACCCAGGACTTCATACATACAAAGCAGGCACTCTACCACAGAGCACTCTCCAATAGGAACCACATCATACATACAAAGAGGCACTCTACACAGAGCTAACTCCTCCAATAGGAACCCAGGACTTCATACATACAAAGCATGCACTCTACCACAGAGCTACACCAACTCCTCCAATAGGAACCCAGGACTTCATACATACAGAGCATGCACTCTACCACAGAGCTACACCAACTCCTCCAATAGGAACCCAGGACTTCATACATACAAAGCAGGCACTCTACCACAGAGCTACACCAACTCCTCCAATAGGAACCCAGGACTTCATACATACAAAGCAGGCACTCTACCACAGAGCTACACCAACTCCTCCAATAGGAACCCAGGACTTCATACATACAAAGCAGGCACTCTACCACAGAGCTACACCAACTCCTCCAATAGGAACCCAGAACTTCATACATACAAAGCAGGCACTCTACCACAGAGCTACACCAACTCCTCCAATAGGAACCCAGGACTTCATACATACAAAGCATGCACTCTACCACTGAGCTACACCAACTCCCCCAATAGGAACCCAGGACTTCATACATACAAAGCAGGCACTCTACCACAGAGCTACACCAACTCCTCCAATAGGAACCCAGGACTTCATACATACAAAGCAGGCACTCTACCACAGAGCTACACCAACTCCTCCAATAGGAACCCAGGACTTCATACATACAAAGCAGGCACTCTACCACTGAGATACACCAACTCCTTCGAAGTTGCCTCTCGGCACGATATCTATATATATACTCTAGACTGGTTCTATGACATGTATTTATTATGACTAAAGACTGGTTCTATAACATGTCTTTATAATGACTATAGACTGTAAACTGGTGCTATAACATGTCTTTATAATGACTATAGACACTAGACTGGTGCTATAACATGTCTTTATAATGACTAAAGACTGGTTCTATAACATGTCTTTATAATGACTATAGATTGGTGCTATAACATGTCTTTATAATGACTGTAGAATGGTGCTATAACATGTCTTTATAATGACTATAGATTGTAGAATGGTGCTATAACATGTCTTTATAATGACTATAGACTGTAGACTTGTGCTATACCATGTTTTTATAATGACTATAGACTGTAAAGTGGTGCTATAACATGTCTTTATAATGACTATAGACTGGTGCTATAACATGTCTTTCTAATGACTGTAGACTGGCTCTATAACATGTCTTTATAATGACAATAGACTGTACACTGGAGTTAAAATGCCTCTTCAAGCTAACTATAAGCTGTCCACTGTATCTATGTGTCGTCAAGCTGACAATAGTGTGAAAGTATGAAAGAAACATGACAGAGCTTTTCAGTTGTTGCTTTTGCTCAATGAAGCAAAGGTATTACCCAATCTTTCTTGTGTCTTCTGTCATTGTGACAGAGCTCTCTAGACGAGTTCACAGTATCTGTGTCCATAGTTCTATATCATGGCCATGCATAAAATTTGATAGATCTACAACAATTGTAAATTTGAAGAAGTACCAAAATATAGCACAGTTAACCGAAATAAACCCTGACAAAATACGAGGAAGGCTGAGGACAAAGCAGACTGACTAGAGTTAACCTCCACCAGCAGAACTGTTCCACACAGTCAGCCAATGATAAACAACGGTCACATTCTCCTCTCCCTGGGACCTCAACTCGACCGCCGTTCCAGTGCCACGATATTGTTGGTCCAGGGAACGTCTCTTTCTAAACATTAAGGGTTTTTCTCCCAAACCAGTAACTGATTACATCCAATGCCAGCAAGACGGCTGATTTTGCAATCATGATTTTCTTGCCTTTGTTTTATTGTTCACACTGTGTTTAGGCTCAAGGATGTAAACCTCTTTTGTGTTGCCACTGACGGCCACACCAGAGCGTGGAAAGACGAGGTGCCGTTTTGAATTAGTTTTCCAGGTAACTTTGTCTCCTTAGCCTGTTTCTTTAGGATGTGAGTGACACACCGGTCAGTGCCCTTCTCTGTCCATTATTTATTTGCCATTGTTACATTACTTACGCAAAGTAACAGACTAACACATAGCCATCACAAACTATTAACCACTAGTGTATATATAAAATATACCATTCCTTTATTGAAGTAAGCATAATAGGGTGTGGAAACGCAGCCAGGAAGTATGCATAACTGCTTTTACACATGCATTCCAAAAAATATATTTATATTAAAGACTGAACATTATTTTTAAGTAATGCATTTTGCTTTCTAAAGATAGTACATTTAGATTATACTTAGAATATACTAAAAGAGCAAATTTCATATATTTACATTACTGGCATTAGTATATGATAATAAACTTGAAGTACAGTAAATGTACTTTATTTATTTGTTTAGGAATACATTTCAATTGGTCATTGCCATTTAGGTAATAAAAGTATTTGAGAAAATATGAATCAGCAATAGGAAACAGCCGAGGGAAAAAACATAAACCTGCAAAAAATAATGTTTTTCAAGAAACTAAATCAGGACCTGGAATTAAAATGGGAGTCCTGGAACAAAACCGTAATTTTAAAATTATTGTAACCGTTTAAGAATTGTGTTTTTGTTCCAGGCTTTCCAGTCCAAAAAAAATGAAATTACAAATAAAAAAAATCACTGTCACTCAAACTTATCGTTGGAGTGCCACGCCTGCCAGCTGTAAATATTTGTCAGTGTGTGTGTGTGTGTGTGTGTGTGTGTGTGTGGAGGCTACCTGTCCTCCCTCCTCTGAAACATGCCCCTCCTGTACTGAAACGGAGGACGATTGAAAGAGCCAGACAGCTTTGATGAATGAAGCATTTTCAAGGCTTCCTAAGGATTCGATTGATATCACTTTTCACCATGAATTTGTTCACTACAAAAGCCATGTTTCTGATTTTCTTGCCACTCTGTACACAAACTTGAAAATTAGCTAGCACCTTTCCACAGTTTGAGCTTACCATGAATTCAGAAAAAATTGTAATTTCCTCTATAGTACCCACACAGATGTATATGAGTATATAATGTAATTGTCAGCTGAGTAAATTGAGTAACCCATACTGTAATCCATACTGTAATTCATAATGTAATCCATAATATAATCCATACTGAATTTCTTAAGATGACACCAAGGGCTTCAAGCAAAGCCTTTCATGTCCACCATTCAATGGTAAGTGGCTTTTACTTTTCTTCATAGATTGGAACATTTATCAGATAAAAGCAAAAACCGAAATAGATTTCAAATGTAAAAATATTTGCAAGAAAACAACAATATACACAATAAAGTTCTGGGCAGTTCAAACCCAACACTATATTTTTCCTAACCAGGACAATGTAACGGAACATTTTTACGGGTTCGATTTAGAACTAGATTTTTATAAATACTTTTGGTAAAAAAAAATCACATAAAAGAAAACAACAAATCTACAAGTAAAACATACAAAATAGAGAACAAAACAGTAAATAAAATGAAAGATAAAAAAATTACAAAAAAATGTAATGCGCGCAGAATTAAGATATTAACAAAAAGCAACTGAACATTAAAATTGATTCCTTTTCGATAATCCAAAAAATCTGCAACCAAAAGAATGAAATCAATTTTTTTATAAATGAAAATAAAAATTTTAAGGACGTTTTGAAACATCGCTATGGCAGAAGGGTGTTACCCATTGCATGTTTGGTCAGTGTGTCTAAACAGCGACAATAAAACAAACGCCTGTATGCCGAGCATTACAGAAATTGCATTACGAAAAACTCCTAAATGTTTGCTAAGTAATACTAAATGAACTTACCTTTATAGTACTAGCCATGTCTGTTCAGGACCTTCAAGTCCTGGTAAAACAAAAAACTATTATTTCTAATTAATATTTTTTTCTGGGCAGCAAGCTAGTTGAGGTTCCAGTTTGCGTTGTTTGGAGCGGATGAGATTGTGCTAACGTTGGGAAGTGAAGTCAGCCAATAGCAGGAAGAGGTTTCTATTGGTTCTGGCCGCCACAACTCAAAGAAACAGGATATTTGGGAGTGAGGAGATAAGGAGGGCTAAAAACAATGTTGTTATTCTTGATGATGCACGTTAGAAGTTTTCAGTTTTCAGTAAGGACCCCCCCCCCAGACGACAGAACCAGGCAGGTGCACGGTGTGTGTGTGTGTGTGTGTGTGCGAGCGTGTCCGTGTGTGTATATGTGTCTCTCTCACACACACACCACACAAACACACACATAAACCAATGACAGGATGCAGATGTC